GGTTATTGAGAGAGAATAAGTGTGGGAGATTTGGGGGGTATATATATGCAAAAACTCTTAAATTTTCCGCTCAAATCAAAACTCTAGAGACCACAGTAGACCTTATTGCTTAGGTTTGTCAATTTTTAGGTCTTGTTGTTGCCGGCGTCAATTTTTATGTCCTAGTGGAAAATTGGTATCCGTATATAGGCTTAATCTGGTATTTTAACCATAATTTATGGGAGATTTCTTTTCTCCTACAATGTTGTCAGCTTTCTGGTCCTGTAGGTTCAAATAATTGAACGGTCGAGCTTTAAGGTCTGAAGTTGCAAGCTTTTAATTTCTCTGCACATTAAAAGGAAAGTATGCAAGGCTTTCGTTTCCTGATTGAAATGTTTTGTACTGCAGAGGGCCCGACGTCAGAGATCCCATCCTTAAAGCATGAGCGATTGTTGGCCCAAATCCTACGGAAAGGACTTTACTGCATATGAGCATAACATGCATGCTTTTAAGTGGTGTCTGGCCGCGAAAGTAGCCAAGAGAGTCGGAAAAATAACCAATATGAAATTATTGGTTACCCATCTATGGTTTTTTTGTTATTAAAATGTAACGTCAGTCATACTATAAATTTCATGTTATTCCTACGCTATAAGAAACTAGAGGGTCGGAAATCCTTTCTCATGTATTGTCATAAAAAATTATGAGTCTCCATGGAGAGTAGGCATTCTCTCAGCTGCGCGATTGGGGAGGAGGGGGGCAGTGATGGTATTTCGCTGCCCGCCTTGAGCTATCAGAACACGTCGTGTTCCTTGTGGTATAGGAAAATTTTGGAGTATATAAAAATCAATCGAAAAGTGATTCCTCCAATTTGTTGGTGTTGATTCATTGCAAATCTAAAACTTATTTTATTCTCCATGTTTTGTATTCATTTTTTAGTCCAAAGGCTACAGAGGAGTGCATTAAAATCTCTACTGTTTTGAATAGTAATCTGGAAGCAATACGTTATTTCCAAGGCTGATCAAGTGGTTTGGTGAGGAAATTATTAGGCTCAGACTATGCAGTCCATAATGGCTATTATTTAGGCTAATAAAAGAGTCATTATTGGTACAAGAAGGTAATGAACATTCATTAATTTGTTAGTGTACCGTACAAGGCTACAAGTGCAATCAATTTGGTTCTCAGGTCACGGGCTTCGTCGTATTAGTCCATTCAATTTGGTTCTTAATTCACCGGCTGTTTGGGTTATATTATTTGGAAGCTAGTTCATCGAAATCTTAAGTATTCTGAGCCGAGGATGTTATTATTAGTAATTGTTTACGTGATTCTCATTCAAGAGTACTTATTATTATATCATAAATCTTATATTATTCGTTAAATTGGAAAAATAAAAATTATTATCCTTGAAAAAGTTACTGATAGTAACTCACAAGGAAAATTTTCAATTTAAACTTATTTATTTCAATTATTGCTGTGCGTAAACTAGATTTTTTGATTTTGATCTTAAGTTGAGTCTCTCTATATTATTAAGATAAATTATGAAGCCTTAAAAAAGGTATACAAGAGATAATCATAACATTTGATATTTAAGCTCTATTCTAAATGATAGTTTCAGCGCAGTAAGATCTTAGGAAAATTTCATTTTCTCTTTGCTATCCAAACTTTTAATCCATCTTAAACATAAGCTATTTTTTTTTTATCCATCAAAAGCCATATTTTTAAGTTTTGTTGTACATCCAAACACATCCACGTACGTACTTAGATAACATAATCAAGAAGTTAAAAAAAATCTATTAAGAATCGAATAGGAGAGATTTCCATGTTCTCTTACCAAATCTAGATACAAACCTAAAAAACATCACAAGTTTATCTTTGAAATTTATTGAAATGGCAAACACATCCCAAGGGGCAGCTTTTTTTATTTTTTATTTGGAGAAAAAAGATCAAAATGTGAATGAAAGTGGAAAAAGAGATCCAAAAAACAACTAGACCTTCCTTTCCAAGTAAAGGATTCTTCAAACACAAGACAAACCCTTTCTTAAAAAAAAAATATTTAAAAAGATTAAAATTCACCCACCTCCACTTGCATTTAATACTTTTATCTCTTTACCCACAAACCACTGACGGGTCGCACTCTCCCATCCTCCTCCTCCCTTCTCTCTCACCATTTATATATATCTAATGCTGTTTTTGGATAGAAGGTAGAAAAGTGAGGAAGAGAAATTTGAATTTAACATTGTTTGGGAGTTTTATTGAGAGAGTAGAGGGGGAAGTGAAGAAAATTTAGACTAAAATCTCACACCCTAAATTGGGAAGTAAAGGAGGGGAAGAAACATATTTTCTTTCTTTCCTTACCCTTCATTCGTTTTCTTTAGTGAGCTCCCAAACATAGAATAAAAAGGAAGGATTACTGCCTTACTCATAATTGTAGAGAGAGAAATTAAACATGATAGAAAAAAACATAATGTATTGAGTGCTGCTACATGGACCTCAAAATAGGGGATCTTGAGTGAGACAGGTAAGGTGTCGCGTCCCTATCTCATGATATACTATTCACAAGTAAAGTATCGCTTTCATGTCCCATGATATACTGTTTATAAACAGTGTATTATGAGGACACGAGACTCGGGGTCCTTTATTTTTAGGTCCCCGACACATTTTTCTAATGTATTTTGCCAACTCATTAACTGCATAGAGCTAAGCCCCAACTGAGAGATACAAATCATGTGAGCTAACAATAAAGCAAAACCCGCATCAAACCCTCTTCTCCTTTCTCTCTCCTCAACTTTCCCCTTCTCATTCTTTCTTCTTTACAGAGAGAAAACAATGTCATCAAGCGCTTCGAGGTTCATTAAATGCGTCACCGTCGGCGACGGCGCCGTTGGCAAAACTTGCATGCTCATTTGCTACACAAGCAACAAGTTCCCAACTGTGAGCCACTCTGAAATTTTTCTGGGTGTTCTCTAATTTGTTTTTTCGTTGGATTTTTCTCAGTAAATTTATTTGTGGGTATATGTTTTTTTAGGATTATATACCAACTGTGTTTGATAACTTCAGTGCCAATGTGGTTGTTGAAGGAACCACTGTGAATTTGGGGCTTTGGGACACAGCTGGTAAAAATCTTGAATTTTAGGGATTTAGGGTTTGTTGTGCTTGGAATTTTGATTATTTTGGTGGTATTTTTTAATGTTTTAGGGCAAGAGGACTATAATAGGTTGAGGCCATTGAGCTATCGAGGTGCCGATGTTTTCGTGCTGGCCTTCTCTTTGGTTAGCCGGGCGAGCTATGAGAATGTGCTTAAAAAGGTAGAGATTGGGTTATATAGTTGTGAAACTTTGGTTTATGTAGTGGGTATTGATGAATATTTTTGTTGATAATGTGTAGTGGATTCCAGAGCTTCAGCATTATGCACCCAGAGTTCCTGTGGTGCTTGCGGGTACTAAATTGGGTAAGTTGGCATGCACATCTTAGATAAGATAATCATTGTGCTGTTGTATGAAAGGTTGATTCTTGGTAGGCAAATTATTGGTATATTATCCTTTATTCCTCATTGGGTTCTGCTTTCTCCGAAACTTAGTAATTATAGAGATAATATGTGCAAAGAAAAATTTCCTCCTCCCGAAGGAATGCATTTGTTAGATAAAAAGGCCGAGGGTGGGATCCCCTTTGGAAAAGATGAAACAATAGCTGATTAGCAAGTGCATTTACTAGATTAAGGTTGAGAAAGGAACGGGGAAAAACTGAATTAAGTAAGATACGCCATTGAGTTTGTTACTTCAAGTAGGAAAAAAATGTTGGTTTATTTATAGAGGGTGAAGAATGATTTTTCTACCTCTTTTGTTGACCTCGTAATTTGAGATTGCTCTACAACTTTGTCTTAGTATTGCTCACTACTAAAAGCATCTGTTCATGAAGCACATGATTCTATGGTATAGAACTCTAACTTCGATCTTCTTTCCTTTAAACTTTTATGTGCTTTTTAATGGTGGAATTTAGCCTAATAAATCATAAAAATGTTGTTGGGTTTTTATTATTGATATTATATGTGTGTGTATATAATTGTGTCCCCGTACCCTACGCCTTACGAATTTCCCCCCTGCACCTATACCTACATCCGTGTAACTTAGGAAAAACCAAATAGAAGTTGTAAGTCAATCTTATATTAAAAAAAGGCACCAAAGAGTTAACGATTATTCTTCTCTCCCTGCAACAACATTTATATATCAAGTCCCTTGAAGTTATAAAATAATATTTATCCTTCTATTCTAGTTCAAATTATTCTTTTGTCCCAACTTAATCTAGGAAAATTCACTTTCCAGTCCATAACTCTTTTGTTTGATCTTATTTCAATAGGTTTAATCATTACCAACTCTTAGCAAAACATGGGAATTATTTATGATCAATATCTTTATTTCCTTGTATATTCATCAAATATCAAGATGTTAGGAATATAAGTTGTTTAGACAATAATTAGCATGAAATACAGTTAATAATTTTCAGATAATAATGAATTAATATTATAACACAGATGTAAGAAATAATTCAAACGAAAAGAAATGAGGGTTAGAAATACGGCCTGATGGTCGAGGCGTGCAAGCACTGTCCTAAGAATCTAATTGCCCCCTCTCGTACAGGGCTACACGGCCTGATGGTCGAGGCGTGCAAGCACTGTCCTAAGAATCTAATTGCCCCCTCTCGTACAGGGCTACGCGGCAAAAGTTTCTGGAGATACGACCCTCGGTCAGGCGACCTCCTTCTCGTCGGCACGAGCTTCAAGAAGGCTTTGCGAACTCTTCTAGACTTTCAGGGAACCAGCAGAATATAATAGCAAGTATAGAGCAGAGAAGAAGTTTTGTGTTTTTCACACTGTGTAAAACTCTTTGGGTTTAGGTTCTTTTATAGGGTTAAAACAGTCGTTATTCATAAATCCCGCAATTAACACGTTTTAATTACTCGCCCATTAATGTATTAATGTTAGCTGTTTTCTGTCATTTAGATCCATAAATCCGCGGTATTTTAATTATAGTAGTTACAAAATATTTAATCCTAACCGTTACAAAATGTTTATCGCATTTTAATTGTTTAAAAATAAATATTACATTTTAATTGTTCAAAAATAAAAATATAGCAGATTAAGAACCCATTAATCCGGAGCTGCATTCGTGTCCGCAGGTCGTGTGCGAGCGCCACCCGACCCGAGCCCGAGCCCGGCCCGACCGGCGCGCGCGTGTGTGGTGTGGAGCATAACCTTTATTTTCTTCTAGGCATAGAAAAGAAAGGGAATGCTTATAAAGAGCCTATCTTTCCATCTTTTTTCCAATGTGGGACTAAAGTTTTCCTCTTTTCCTCTACAAACCCAAGTTTTAAGTTACAACTCCAACAATCACCCACATAACTTAAAATTTAAAATAATTCAGAAATAAAAGTAGAATAAAAACAAATAAGTAAGATTGCTGTTTCCCTTATACTATGTAATAGGTGGAGGTACGTTTCGGTTTGAACCTTCACTTAGTGACAATTGTATAGATCCGTGAGAGCTTGGTGGACTTCGCCTTGAACCAGTCCCATTTATCGGATTTCTACAAAAAGCACATATAGTACAGTTTTGAAGAATTCTAAGCGGGTTGCGCTATTATCGGCCTTGCGCATGTATCTTTCATGTGTGTTACTAGTGAGCAGCATTGATCCCATAGTCGCGGCCTCACAACTACACATATATGTGAATCCTAATAAGGGATGCGAGCAAGTAAGCATCCTGCCTCATGGGTCTTGGATTCATTAAGAGTTAGACTCAATCTTTCACTTGCTTTTTATGAGCACTGATCACCCTAGGGATGGGAGCAAATAAATTCAGTGCTCCTCACAATTAATCACTCATTCAGTTTGTTTCTACCCATTGAACCTCTGCGAGGTTGGATTGCCACTACAGTAATTTTTCTTATGGGCTTAACCCCATCCCCCTCAATGATTCTAGGATCACTGTCCTAGATAAGCCTTTAGTTAAGTGATCTGCAAGATTTTTCTCTGATCTTACAAAGTCTAAGGCTATTATATGATTTTTCATCTTATATCTCAAGGATTTGTGTCGCACTTTCAAGTGTCGATTCATTTTCACATCTGCATTCTCTTGATGGCATTTGTCAATCGCTGACCTGCAATCACAATGAATAGAAATAGCTGGTAATGATTTTTGGATTAGTGGAATTTTAGTTAGTAAATCTTTCAACCATTCAGCTTCTATACTAGTAGTATCAAGGACTATCATTTCTGATTCCATTGTACTTCTAGCCATTACAGTTTGTTTAGTAGATTTCCATGAAACAGCTCCTCCTCCTAAAAAGCTCCTCCTCCTAAAAGGAACACAAATCCTGTGGTGGATTTTATATCTACTGAGTCACTAATCCAATTTGCATCTGAATAACCTTCTAGTACAGATGGATAACCTTTATAGTGTAAACCATAATTCATAGTTCCTTTTAGGTATCTCAAAACTCTTTCTAGAGCATCCTAATGACTCTTATCAGGATTTGATGTATATCTACTAAGTCTATTTACTGCATAAGCAATGTCAGGTCTTGTGTAGTTTGTTAGGAATCCTAATGATCCAATTATTTGTGCATATTCTCTTTGTAATTGAGGATAACCTGTATTTTTTTTAGATGTACATTAGGATCATATGGAGTAGAAACAGGTTTACAGTTTGGATCATAAAAGTTCTTGAGAATTTTCTCTATATAATGTGATTGTGACAGCATATATCCATTCTCATTCTTCAAGATTTTAGTTCTTGAGAATTTTCTCTATATAATGTGATTGTGACAGCATATATCCATTCTCATTCTTCAAGATTTTAGTGTTAAGATTAAGAATTAAATCAGCTTGACCTAAATCTTTCATGTCAAAATTTTGTGATAAAAAATGTTTGATATCATTTATGATTTGTATGTCAGAACCAAAAATAAGAATATCATCAACATATAAGCATAATATCATAATTTTGTTGTTATTATCTATTTTATAATATACACACTCATCTGTTTGATTAATTTCAAATCCATAAGATAGTATAATTTCATCAAATTTCATGTGTCATTGTTTTGGAGCTTGTTTGAGACCATATAGTGATCTAATAAGTTTGCATACTTTCTTTTCTTATCCAGAAGCTATAAATCCCTTAGGTTGATCCATATAGATTTCTTCATCTAAATCTTCATTTAAGAATGTAGTTTTAACATCCATTTGATGTATTATTAATTTATGAATAGATGCTAGAGCTATAAGAACTCTAATGGTAGTAATCCTAGCTACTGGAGAATTGACATCAAAATAATCAATACCAGATTTTTGGGTATATCTTTTAGCTACTAAGCTGGTCTTATATTTATCTATTGTTCCATCTGGTCTGAGTTTCTTCTTAAATACTCATGTACATCCTATAGTTTTACAACCTGAAGGAAGATCAGTTAGTTCCCAAGTATGATTTTGAACTATAGATTGCATCTCATTATTTATAGCTTTCTTTTAAAATGGAGCATCTACTGATTTCGTTGCATCTTCAAATATAATTGGAGAATCTTCTACAAGTAATGCATAGAAATCTTCATGGACCTTTTCTATTCTAGTTCTTTTACTTCTCCTAGGCTCCTCTGGACTTTCTAGTGGTCTAATTTGTTTAGAACTAGTATCACCTTGGTTAGAACTAGAATCTGAATTACTAGAGGTAGGGCCTGTGTTGTTTACTCTGGTCTTGTAAGGAAAAATACTTTCAAAGTAATATGCATCCCTAACTTCAATTATGGTGTTTTTGGCTATCTCATTAATATCAGAGTTGATTATTAAAAATCTATTTGCATTACTATCAGAAGCATAGCCAATAAAAATTCAATCTACAGTTTTAGGTCCAATCTTCTTTCTCTTATTCTCAGGTATTTTAACTTTTGCTAAGCACCCCCACACTTTCAGGTGATCCAAATTAGGGTTTCTATTCTTTTAAATTGTGTAAGGGGTTTTATCAAATTTATTGAATGGAATTCTATTTAGTATATGACAGGCAGTCATGAGAGCTTCTCCCCACAAATTTTCTAGCACACCAGAATTAATTAACATTGAGTTTATCATGTCCATTAGTGTTCTATTCTTTCTCTTAGCTACTCCATTAGATTGGGGTGTATATGGAGCAATTATTTCATGAATAATTTCATTCTCTTCATAAAATTGTTTTAATTCATTAGAAGTGTACTCACCACCTCTATCTGATCTTAGTATTTTAATTTTCCTATCCAACTGATTTTCAACTTCTGCTTTATATATTTAAATTTATTTATGACTTCATCTTTGGTCTTAATTAAGTAGAGGTAACAATATTTAGAGCAATCGTTTATAAAAGTTATAAAATATTTGTTACCTCCTCTAGTTGTTCTTCCTGAATCACAAACATCACTATGGATG